CAGTTCAATCTGCAACATAAGCACAGGCTCCATAAACAAAGAGTTTAAGGATTAAGAAGACAAGAAGGAAGTTTTTTTCTCTGTTTATTCCTTTTTCTTTGATTAGCTTATGCTCTGGCCTTATGTTCGACATGCTTATGTCATAGTGTGAACAGCCCCTTAATCTTCCAAAACRCGTTTTGCTAGTTTTGCTAGTTATCTCAAGGGAATTATCAACAATTTTGTACTACTCCATTTTACACTTCGAAGCGCCATCTTAAAAGGTAACCGAGCCTTTGCATTAAAGCGAGGCAGAAGTTGTGCTTGCAATGATAGATACCTGTGAATAATTGTCTTTGGTGTGAACAAAAGGTATCTATCACTACAGGCTCAACTCCTGTCTCACTTTGATGCAGAGGCTTGGTTGCCTTTCAAGATGGCGCTTGGAACTGTAAATGAAGTATTTGGTGCGATTGGGAAGATCTAGGCCTTAGCGGACAAGTAAAAAGGTGCGAAGACTACTAACACTTCCCATCATGACTTATTCATCTTAGAAAATGACTTGACTGGACATTTAGAATATATACGTTTGTTTCGTCGCTCCTAGAAATACAAACGAGCGAAAGAAGGTTCCCAATGAAGGATACTTATAAAGGGGTATGACGTCAGAATAGCGTTCTATGTATAATGATGACGATGAAGATGATAATAATAATGATAACAACGAAAAGAGTAATTATAGCATACGTTTATCAGACGATTATCACCTAATAATAATAAAACATGCAAAAGGTAGCAAAGATTAATGAGACGAAAGATCGAACGGTGCGGAATTGAGAAACATTCCGCTTTGCCTCCTTTACTTATACCTTTTTTTGTAAAGATTACCCCTTTTAAAAGTTCCATACGTTTACAGGTAAACAAGATAATAAAGAAAAGCAGCGCGAATGCATATCAATGATTTTTCAAAGGCCGTAACACGGCTGGTGTTCAACGTTTRCCAAATTTTACCCTCTYATTTCACCATGATTGTCTGATCTGCGAAGGCGTCAGGTCGGGCTTGTTTTCARTTTAATATGTCTGATGTTGACATTCCATTAAGCGTTTGGTTAGTCTTCTCATGACGCTATTTTTGCTAAGATAGGGAAGTTAGTTTCTGGTAATGGATAGTTGATAATCAACGAAGATGTGTCAYAGATTACGAAATGCGTAGGAAGGACGCAATGAAACAGGTTAAGTAGTTTTGTCTTCCGCTAAATTTAGAGTTTTTTGATAAAAAAGATCGGTTTAGGAAGATACTTGATGGTGCCACAATGTCAATTCAATTTTTTGGTGGGGAATTGTGGGAGGGGATGGGGATGGGGCTGGGTGAAGGGGCAGAATGTGATTGAGGGGGCAAACACAGTTAAAAACTTTAAACCTTTTTTTTTTCTCCGCACATTTATAGTCAGTGGCTCTAAGTTTACGTTTGATGCAACTTGCCGCGCAGAATTGTTGCTATTTAAGCTAGTTCGGTGTTTTTGTTTTCGTATTATACCTTGTATTAGCACTGAAAACTTATCGAGCAATAAAAGCAGGGCATGAAAATCGAGAAACGACCAAAAAAGAATCGCTTTGAATTGCTCTATTTCATTATGACGTCACACCGGCATGTTTACATCGGGGAGTGGTGCTCAAATTTGGACCCATTTATATTCCCTCAGAACATCATTTTATTTGAAATGCAGTCACTCTAATCCCCTCTGGCTACCATAATCCTTGGCGTTATAACAATAGAAAACTAAAGTACAAACACTAAAACTGTGCAACATAAATACCACTAAATACTGCTAAATTATGCTAATTCTATTGTTTTTTATTGTTTAATTAACACTATTTTGTAGTAAATAGTGGAAAGTGTTGCACACATTTAATGTTTGTACTCTATTGTTCGAAAACTATTGTAATATTTTACAATTTTCTATTGTTGTAACGCTAACTAAAAAAAATTAAAATTAAATTTAAAATTTGAATTTTTTTGTGTGTTTTTATTTATATCACAATTTCTTTATTCTATATTTTTAAACCCTAAAAATGTTGGAGAAGGAATCCCTTAAACTTGGATTCCTCTTTTGGACTTTTATTTAATTCGTATATTAATAATGACTTCAAATGTAGACTTAATTATTACGTCTGCTTCCGGTTTACGGGTGAACAAATTACAAAAGTGTAATATCTAGTAAACTAGACGGCGGTTGTATTCAAAGCACGTTTCTCCTTTACTTTGGTCTTATTATTTGGATTCAATTCACTGTATATGACGAGATTCGTCATGGAACAGTCACTTGCCGAGTGAGGTAAAAAAGGAAGTTTAATTCAAAATGACGTAATGTTGAAATTTTAGGAAATATTGGCTTCAAACGTATTTTCATTATCCTACAAAATTCTCTGTTTCGTAAGGAAACCTAGCCTAAGGAAAAAATAATAATAATAAAATAATAATAATGATATTTATCATATAATTATCTATAAAATACCTATATTTCTCCATTTTGTCCATTTTGTAAAATTGATATTTTGAAAATAACATCTTATTTTTGCTAGTGAAAATAACACATTCGAGGTTTCTCTATATAGTGGAAGTAAGAAAAAAATTATTTTACGACACAATTTGCYTCATATATACTATATGATAAACAGAATATTACATGGTCGCTTGGAGATACGAATTTTATCTTCTCGTGTTGAAAATCTCTCACGCGTTCGCTACGCTCACTGGTGAGAGATCTTTTCAACACTCTAAGATAAAAACCGTATCTCCGCGCGCCTATGTAATATCCTCTGTATAAATGAAASATGGAAGTTTAATAACTGAGTTGCAATTTGCTTCAGCAGTTACCCACAAATGAATCAAGACCAATCGCCGTACACAAGACTCAGTCAGTTTTCACGATAACTGAGTCTTGTCCTGATTTCTTTGTGTTTGACAACAGAGACGAAATTTGCAAATAGGTTATTCACATGACTTGAATTTRATAARTTGAGAACTATTTGCTTCAAATGTAATGCCGTCAATGTTTCGTGATACTCTATAACCGTAAATTTCCTAGTTTCTACCTTATTTTTTGTCATTTTCAAGCAAAAAACGACTAAAATTATGATTTAATATAAGTGTTTCCTTATTGAAATTCAGTCACTAACTAAATAACAGAGATTTAGAAGCATTAGAACTGAGTTCAAGAAAATGTAAGCCATAATGTGAAAAACTTTGGCTGTAATTGAACTTATCAACTTTTCTGATCTAAAGGAATACAAATAGTTTTTCCGACCGAAAAAAAAGTATTTTTCTTATATTTTACCATAAAAATTGTTTCTTTTAGAGGGTTTAAGTGGTATTCTTCCATAACACGAAACATAAAAATGTCCTTGAAAATAATTTTCTTAAATTACTATCGACCAATGAAAAAGCTTTAAGAAAAATAATGTTTTTAGTACAAAATTGCTTAATTGTTCATTTCATTGCGGGATTGAATTTCATTCATTACCTACTATACATAATTTATCTCAAAGACTTTTTTTTTAAATCTTTTCGCTCGGATAGACTGCTTAACAACCAACACAACTTGCTATTTACTTCAAAAAATAAAAAATAAAAAATAAAATAAAATAATAATAATAAAATAAATAATAAAAAAAAAATAAAAAATTTAATAACAAAATATCAAACAAATTATCTTCAAGTTTAATATTTTAAACTGGAATAATTTTTTATGTACAGTACCAATTAATTTCCTAAAAATCTCACTTTCTAAAAATGTAATAAATGAAAGACATCTCTGTTTTCTAAACTAGAAATTCAATATCATATATACTATGGTAAATATTATTGGATGCTCTTATCTCGGCTGGACTTTTTTGTTTTATCTYTCAATGTTGTGCAATCTCTGTACTTTCGAAGCGTTTTAACTGAGACAAAATCTTCCACGTACGGTAATCATACTAGAATTTTTCAATGGGAATTTTACGAAAATCATCTCAAATTCATTCTTTATTTTCACTAAAGATCACCCAACCCGTCCTCATTTAAAAGTACAATTCTTTAGCCATTGCCTTCCGTTTCTTAGCCTTTTAGAATAAAAAAAAAACTTCAAAAATGCAATGCAGCGATTCCTGRATGCTAAGTGTAAAAAGGAAATAGTCTTATTTTCACAACATGTTGAAAATCTTCAGTCAATTGAATTTTTTGCTRAGAYAATACTACYCAGCGCCAYGACAAACTGGAATAGAAAATAACCTCGAAATCCGGCCATYTTTTACAAAAGATCATCAAAACCAGCCTTAATGTTTGCGAATCTTTGAATGGCCGGATGTTAATCAAGTAAATATTATTCATGAGATGCGCTGGAAGTGAGTTGATAGGATAAAAGCCTCTTGCAGCTCATTTTTCACTCTAAGGTGTCTCTTCAAACCCAACAACTTATCATCTACACAATTGACTGTCGAGAAACGGTTTCCAAAGGTTTCTGTCCCTTTGGAAACACAGAATAACAGCGAGACCCTTCCACTAAGGTAAAGAAATGGTTGCTTTGAAAAACCGTCGATAAATTACTACTTAATGTGATTTTTTTTTATGTTCTGAGGAATAACATCTTCCACGTCATATTTGAAAGTTGAAATTGATTTTGAAGGACTTTTATTTGCCTTATTGAGCAAAAGGAAAAAAAAACAACAAAGGATTGTTTGCCAAATTGCGATATTTAATGCATTTGAAAGGCTTGTAGTATCTTTMGAACGGCTATTTGCTGTGTTAATCATAAGCAATTGCAACGTTCAAGACACCAAATGTACAAAATCAAAACATCGGAAAATCAATTTKGAAAAAGCACCTTTGAAAGCGCCTGAATAATATTGACATTGAAAGCCATAATTTARGTTAGTGGACATAACTGTTCGAATGTGTTGCTATTGTGTAATTTGCGAGCAAACACTRCAGCAAGTATGACAACAAACTCATTGGCTTTTTGATTTTCTATAATGTATAGGTGAAGACGACGACCGTTGCTGAGATTGAGTCGATTGAGTCTTCACAAAGATTGCCGCCTCCGCGAAGAGTTTTTGATCGTCATCTTAAGAATGAATACCTCGTTTGAGCTACACAACTCAAGTAGTTACACGAGCAATATTTCCTACAAACTGACGGAAAAGGAACTTATGGCTATTAGCATATACATAAGTATTGTTGGTGGACTTGGTATCGTTGGTAACGTCCTAGTAATTCTAGCTTTTTACAAGTACAAATCTCTACGAACTTCAACGAACACATTTATACTCCACTTAGCTCTATGTAACTTTATTCTAGCGCTAATGGATATAATTTTTTCGCTTCCTTCATCTATTCGACACAAGTGGATTTTAGGATTGACCGCGTGTCGCTTTTATGGATTAATATATCATTTCTTTTGCTCTGTTTCGTTGAACACCTTGGCGATAATTTCTCTTGATAGATACTGGGTTATCACCAAGCCATCTATAGGCATAAAGATAACYATACGACGAGCAGTGTTGTGTATCGTTGTGTCTTATGCGTACACCGCGGTGTTCATGATACCAGCCTTTCTAGAATGGGAATCATTTCACGAGGAAGCCTTCTACACWGGATGCTACATCAACTTCTATGATAAAACAATACGTAGTCTTCTCAACGCTGTCATTCTAGGAGTTTTTCTGTTTGCAGTTCCGTTTGCCGTGATGATTTTTTGCTACGGATCGATTTTTACTTCGGTTCGACGTAAAGGACGCTACGCCGTACGCATGCGCCCTAGATGTCGAGCCAACAAGTGGAAATTCACAATACAAAGAATCCCACATTGGAGAACGGCTAGAATGATCATTGTTGTGATATTTGTGTTTTTAATCTGTTGGTCTCCGTACGTGATAGTGTCAATGTGTATGGCTTTTGGAAGCAATATCACTGTTCTAACGCTTGAAATAACACTGTTGTTGGCCAAATCCGGTGTCATTTACAATCCTTTCATATACGCCGCTCTAAATCTACGTTTTCGCACGGCATTTTTTGAGATGYTACAATGCGGTCGTGTGGCGAACAGAACAAATTGGGGAGTAAAGACCAGAGTCCTTTCAGGAGTTACCGGAGACTCAAGCGGTTACTTAACATCGCGAGCAAGCGGTTGCCCGACTTCTAAGGGCTTAGGGACCTCTTTATTACGAACGGTCGAACGAGGCTCGTCCGCTGAGGCCGAAACCTCAAAACAAGTCAATGGAGATCAAGATCAGTACKTGATTGARCAYGGAATTGCCTTCAAACGCGATGAAGAGTCACCGAATGAAGAAAAAGAAAGATCAAACTCGGATGATCTTCACGGTATTGAATATTCACTAGTGTGTATTACCCATAGATCTTCACCCTGCAATAGCTTACTTAAGCCAACATGTCAACAAGTGACAAGATCATGCGGATGTTGTGCAATAAACCATGAAACGTRTGGCATAAAGGATATTAAAGAAGCCTGGACAGAAAACAAAAAGGTAAAACAATTACAGAAAGTGAAAGGTAATGTTAATAAAGCCCAAGGCGAAGACAGTAAAAACAAACGAGGAAGTTCTCTCATTGAAAAGAGAACGGGAAGTTTAGCAGAGATGAGTCTAAACGGCGTGRCTACCAAAGAAAAAGCGAATCAACATCGCCGTGCGTCTTTGCACRCAAAGCAAACATACTCACTGACCTGCGCAGACTCGGAGCCTCGGTGGAATTGCAAATGCGAATGCCACACAAATGGCCTCTAYACTCGAGCAAATATTCCATCGATAGTCAAACTTGAAGTGAAATCATTCAAGACCAAAATGTGTGAGAAAGAAAACACATGCTCTTGTGCTAAAAATATCAAACAAGAGGAAACTTGTATTGCGCGGGAAAAAGCAGTCGTCGGAAATWCGACGTTTATACGAAGGACGTCCGAATGTGTACGAGCACACACCGAACTAAGTAAGAATATCGAATCCTTCTGGAGACGCCCCAGTTTGGTAGTTATGAACAACATTAGGCCAACGACGTTCGAAGAGGAAAATATGTAAACTTTAAAATTGTAGATCACTAGAGATTTTAGTCGAAAACTAGTCTTAGAATTAAAGTCAAGCAAATCAAATCATTTCATTTTATAAACATTTGTTGCATCATGTAATCGCGATATGCCTTTTCTGAGATAGCAGTTTGCACTGAATTGTGGTTTAGATTCGGTACAAACATTTTTTGTTCATTCTGCCAAATATGGCGTTGTTTGTGATGAAGCTAGACCACAATGCACTATGATTTTGTATTTCAGAAAAGGTCTATATTCGATGTAAATATTAAACCATTTCGAAATTCTCTTGTTCATTAATCCAACATGGCGTCAATAGCGTTGTTCCTATTTTTCGCTGTTCCAGTGAAAAATAGTGGCCGTGAAAGCCGTGTAAGACAAAAAATAAGCCTTAAAATGTGGGCTTAATATCCTCCAAGTCAAAAGACCCAAGCCGTCACTTATTACACAACCAAACTTTCATTAGTCGGGAATATCAAACTTAAATCACATAGTTCTTGAAAGGTTTACACAGCCCCTGGGGAGATGACAAACGAGTTGGTAAATTGAGATGACAAATTAATATTGCTTTGGTAGATGTCATGAATTGCACTCATGAACGACTAAATATCTAACAATTATTTCCACATCTTCGCCTGGCCACAGCCCTAGGGATTTGGTGAGATGGTCGCTTTGCTCTCAATCGTGAGATATCAATTGACCACTCGAAGATAGAATGCGTATTTCTGCTAGCCCCTTTAATACCGTCTAATATATAAACAAAACTATAAATTATGCTCGAATCCTCTTTTAAGCCAACGGATGAAAACGTATTGGAAAAGTAATTTCCGTATTTGCACTATCAAAAACACGACCGAATTAAATGGAAGCTGGCAATGACTCTTAAACTAAACCCCAATTTTGGCATTAATGCTAGCAATCTTAGCGTGGCCAGAGAGAATTTTCATTCCACGAAGGGCTAATGAACATCGTCGAGTCAGATGTGGAAGATATTATTTGAAATAAAATTTATCAAATTTAAAAGTTTTAAAATTATAGATGACGCAAAGTATCAGCCCTGTAGTTTTTTGAATGTAAAAAAGAGGACTCAAATAAATAAGCTTTCCAGACTCCAAACAAAGCAAAATAACAATAGGACGGTTTTCAAACCCTTGTTCCCCAAAATATGGTCTCATTAGTTCAAATCAAGTTTTAGCATCTTCCCCAGTCTCCTTCTCTCCAGTATGAGGTCATACCGACCGACATTTTGAAAACTGAAAGAGCTGACAGATCGAGGGGGTCGAGGACTATGATGACTATCCCAARCAAAGACAAAACAAAGGCTATAGTTATAGGTAAATAAGTAGTGGAAACAAGCTTTGTTCTTTGAACCAAATTAGTAAATGTTACAATTTTCTGTCACAAAAGGCGAATGAAACGTGTAACAAGAATATTAACAACCATGCATTCTATCTAAAGTGTATCTTTGGTCCTTTCCTCTTATGGCGTCATTTTTTGACGAAGTGCATGATGGTATTGATGAAAGTATTTTAAGGCCGATGTAAGGAACAAAGTTTCTTTTCAAAATTAACTTTGTAGGTTGTCAAAAATGCTTTGAAAAGCATTAAAATAGAATGGCTAAACACTAAAGTATGTTTTGAATATTTTAAAAGACTTGTCTTGGAAATAAGTAATGGTTTTTGTTCGTAAAACAGCTTGATACACGAGAAACACTTACGAAGAACAATAGCATGGCACATTAATCACCTTCCTCAATCCCATGATGCATTTCAGCAACGACATGAGGTGACCTGGGAATGAGGTTGGCAGCACAAGAATGAGAAAGGTTGTTACACGTTTCATTTCCTTCTGATTTTTAGTTTTTATGATTACTATTCTTTTTCATATTTATAGAAACCTTCACCGCTTTTTCGGCCCAGCTTATGCCTTGCCACCAAATCTTTTAAAATTTCAGGAGTTTTGAAAATCTGCACGTCTGGGTATTTTTCTTCCCAACCTGATGAGTAAAAAAATGTACAGTAAGAGAAAAATCAATATTATTAATTCACGAGTTTCCATACGCAGGTTCAGTGACCACGGACAAAGCATTGAACCGAGGCGTCAAGGAACACTGAGCACAGACCTTTTCTTTTATGTTCACTGTACCTTGACGCCTCGGTTCAACGTTTTGTTCGTGGTCACTGAACCTGATTATGGAAAGTCGCCAATAAAAAAAAACAGGGTGAAACGCTTGGCAAATCATCTTTGATGCTTTCGGGTTTCCTGTGGTAAACAAACCGCTGATCTCTGAGTTGTTTAAGTACTTTTTAGGAAAGTCAATGTTGAACTCATTGAACTTTTTTCCCAAGAGTTACTCGTAGACCGCTGACAAAAAGCCAGNTACTGAAGTGTATTCCGGTAGTTAGGCTTGTTTTTAACACCAAATCTCACACAAAAGAAAGTAATGAGAAAAACCAAAGATTGAATGGAGTCGTAGATCATTAGAAAAGTGATGGGGGTTTTCAGTTTGTACAATTTTTTTKKGGGACACAGGTTTTTGAGATCTTGGGTTTTAATCAGAGTTTTAWTCAGRGTTTTAATTGTACATATCAAACATTTTCATTTGCCGTGGCTGGTAGAGGGAGACTAACTTAATATGGCCGAATGACATAGGTCACAAAAAATACAGGAAGTTGTTTACACTACAAAACAAAATTTTTACTAGGTATTTGCCATTGCATAACAAAAACTGAAAATATCAGATCTTGCGAATTTAAAGCAATCTTGTTACAGTGCATCAAGGGCTGATCCAGAAATTTGTCAGAGGGGGAGGGGAAGGGGGGGAATTCACTGATCCAAATATATTTCAAAAACACTAAAAATATTTTTCCGAGCGTAAACTTTAAAATTACAATAAGAAATCTAAAGTATCGGACTTTAAGTGAGAAAAAGATAATATGCATTAAGACTAAAAATGGCGAATCCCCTCTCCCCTAACAATATTTTAAAAKATTATAAWTWWTWWTWWTTYSRAA